GGGGGAGAGAGAGAGAGAGAGAGAGAGAGAGAGAGAGAGAGAGAGAGAGAGAGAGAGAGAGAGAGAGAGAGGAAGAAAGAGTATAACTGTATAACCAAACGACCTAAAGAACACTATCTGAAAGCTCTTTCTATTTCACGCCCTACCCTGTGCAGTACAGGTGCATACTAAAGCGGCATAAGTGATTTACACATACTTGACATGTTATACCCATGAAAAATGACTTCAAAATCTGCTTCTTAAAAAGAAAGAAAAAATGCCAGGGCAGAAATGAACCTACTGGTCAGCCGCGCAGCCAGCGTTAATAATCTACCTCGGCAGGAACACTGGACGTGCAGGCCTGGTCCCCGCCGGTGCCCAGATGTGGTGCACAGGGACGTGCAGTTCCACCGAAGCCCTGCACCCTGCTTCCCACCAGCACCCCAGTGATGGCCACGCGCCAAAGCACAGTCCCGCGGACCCCTTCAATCACTGCACGTCGCCCACACAGGCAAACAGACTGGGGACAGACGACCGTGCACCCTACGCCTGCACAGGGCTCGATCCCGTCCTGACTTCCGGTCCGGGAGAGGTTGCCGGAAGGACCAGGAAATTGGGGTCAGGATCCGCACAGAACTCGGGAAGTCCAACCGAACCCCGCTGCCGTTCCCCAGACAACGCAGGGCCAACCCGGAAGTCCTCCGCTCACCTGGGGAACCGCGTGTGGCGGGTGTGGAGACGCAGATGGCGCACTCAGCTGTGGAGGAAGCGGCTGCGGGTCGCGAGCCTGCGCCTCTGCTGCGCACGCGCAGTTCCCCAGCCCTCCCCCACCACCACCAAATACACACCTGCAGCCCTGCACCAGGCTGGCTTACCTGGCTCCCATCAGGACCCGGGCACACCATTTTCCCAGGCAGCTATCCCCTCATCCACCTTTGTGTACGCATTAGTTTTGTCCCGAGCCTGTTACCGGAATTGTTAGGGCCAAAGTATAAGGAAAAAGTAAGAAGCTCGTAGGGAGAAATAAAAGGTGAGAACGCAGGCGTTTTCAAACAGCAAGGAGCAAGCTTTAGTCAATGCCAAGGAAGGGGTGTTTCTAGTTCTGGCTGTTCTGAGTGAAGAGGAGCGGCCTTCCCTGATGGCCCTTGCCTCTGTACACGTCAGTCCTCACTTCCAGGTGAGGCAGGCATTAGAAGTGTGTAAAGAGAAGCCCGTGCGGTTAGGGGGGAATGCTTCTGCCCAAGGATTATCCAGCAGCTTTGCTTTATGTGCAGAGGGAAATTCAACACGACTCCGATTCCTCACCTTCTCTAAGAGTTCATCCTACAACTCTAGTTCCTGCTACTTAAAGGGCAGCGCGTTATTTTACTAGACACCAGGAAGACTAGGTACAGAGGTCTGATGGGCAAGTTGGGGAATACAGTGCAAATTCAGACGAGCACAGACGAAGAGTCAGTAGCATGGGCCAGGTGGACAGTTGCTGCACCCTCTCTCCTACCTTCCCCTGCAGTCTTCCCTGGCTGCTAGCTTCCAAGTCGGCTTAAGAAGAAAGCCTAAAATACCTGTGAGCTAGCTGGCCCAGCCGGTTTTTTTGTGGCTGGTTTTTAAAACCCAGTAACACCCTGCATGCTAGCGAAATGTAGCATGTTTCTTTCATTGGAAATTTTTATTAAAAAAGAAAAAAGGTCAGTCCTGCGAAGGTGAGCCACCACTCCATAAATAAACACCACCAAGACAATCGCCCGGTTTCAGAAGTCTCAAAACAGCAAGACCCAGAGAAGCCGCCTGCTGCGCCACGCCCTCTTGGGGGCGGCATCAAGAGATGCGCCTGCGCATTGCGCCCATGCTGGCCTCTCCAATTTACAACCGCTAGAAAAACATTGCGTGGACTGGCTGTCCAGCTACCTCCTGCTGCAGAGTTAACCCCAGGTTCGCTGCTCTCCGACCCCAACTCTACACCCACCGAGCCATGTCATCCTGCAGCCGCGTGGCGCTGGTGACCGGGGCTAACAAGGGCATAGGCTTCGCCATCACTCGTGACCTCTGTCGGAAGTTCTTGGGGGTCGTGGTGCTCACCGCCCGGGACGAGGCAAGAGGCAAGGCTGCGGTGCAGCAGCTGCAGGCGGAAGGCCTGAGCCCGCGCTTCCACCAGCTGGACATCGACGACCTGCAGAGCATCCGCGCCCTGCGAGACTTTTTGCTCAAAGAATACGGGGGACTGGACGTGCTGGTCAACAACGCGGGCATTGCCTTCAAGAGTATGCCCTGGGGTGTGGAAAGGGGAGGCGACTTCCCCGGTGGTGCCAGGATGGGCTCTTCTTCTCAGGGAAGCATTGCTAGGGCAGGGAAAGGGTCATGGGAGTCTAAAACAGGTCCCCTGGGAGATAAGGACCAGGGTGGGGGTTGCAGGCAGAGCAGAGCCCTGTGTTTACCCAACTAGACCGCTTTCCCGTGTTTTCCAAGTTTCCCTCACTCAGCTGTTGAGTAGGTGGGCATGGGTATACTTCAATAGAACTCTTATGTGATAGTAAAATAAACAAGGAATTGGGTGGAGAAAAAGAGAAGAGCAAGGGAGGGGGTTACTTTGCTATCTTAATACATAACCCTTCCCTAGCCCCATCCCTGGGTGCTGCCTGTCAAAAATGATAGAATATATTCAGATTGGCAGTAGGGCAGTGGCCTGACTAAATACCTGGCAGTGTATTTCTAGGGCGCTCAGTCCTGTCTATACAGTCCCACTGGAGTAACGCGATTCTCTTTCTCCCCCCGGAAGATGCTGACCCCACCCCCTTCCACATTCAAGCAGAAGTGACATTGAAAACAAACTTTTTTGGTACCCAAGATGTCTGCACTGAGCTGCTCCCACTAATAAAACCCCAAGGTGAGTCTGTGGCTGCTTTCCAGGCCGCTCCTCTCCCTCTGTGCCTCAGCCTCTCTGAAACTTGGTCAGAGTCTCTGCTCTTTGGGTCTCAATTCTTTGTGGTCCCTGATTCTCTCTTTGCAGCCCCTGATTCTCTCTATGCATGTGCGACTCCGCTGTAACCATCCGCTGTGCGTCCAAGGTCTGTTGTTCCACATGCTCACACTTTAGGGGGTTTTAGGATTCCATTCCTCTCTAAAACCTGGTGCACACCAACCGCACCCTGCTGGTCGCAATGCCCTGCCCCACAAGACCTCAGACTGTGCCCACACAGTGCCTCCCTCACTCAGCTTTACAGCAGGTCAGGACTGGGAAACTGCAACTCCACCCAGGAGGCCTCCTTTCTTGAGCATGCCCTGTCCAGGGTTTCTACACCCTGTCTACCCAAGTCTTCTCCTCCCAAAGATACTTCAGGGGACAAGCCTAAGCCTTTAGCATGGTTCACACCACTTGATAATCTCACCTGTCCTTAATACAGTGCAGGCTCATGTTAGCTCTCCATCAACTTGTACATGCTCTGCAGAACTAACAATCACATAACTGTTATCATGAACTGCTGATACCCCATGTTATTTGCATGGCGTGTGAACACCACTCAATGACCATGCACCAGCAATGACAAATGAGCCCCTGCAGGACTGTAAGGGTCTGGTTTAGAGCTGAGGAAGTATACCTCATCTGAACTCATGTCCTCTCTCCTGATGCTCCTCTGCATCTCTAGAACCTCTAAAGGGTGCTGTTTCCATGGTGACCTGGCTGCTCTGCCCACCCGAACCTTAAAGGAAAGAATGCAGTTTCTTGTACTACCTCAGTCCTGTTCTCCACATCCTCTCTTACATGGAAGCTTCCTGGTGTAAAATCTCACCAAGATAAAATACCATCATTGTGTACCTCTTTACATAGCAATTTGTGGTGTGTTTTAGGCAGAGTGGTGAACGTATCGAGCATGCTGAGTCTCAGAGCCCTGAAAAACTGTAGCCCGGAGCTGCAGCAGAAGTTTCGAAGTGATACCATCACAGAAGAGGAGCTGGTGGGGCTCATGAACAAGTTTGTGGAGGACACAAAGAAAGGAGTGCATGAAAAAGAAGGCTGGCCTAATAGTGCTTATGGGGTGAGCAAGATTGGAGTGACAGTCCTGTCGAGAATCCACGCCCAGAAACTCAGAGAGCAGAGGAAAGGGGACAAGATCCTCCTCAATGCCTGTTGCCCTGGGTGGGTGAGAACAGACATGGCAGGACCAAAAGCCACCAAGAGCCCCGAAGAAGGAGCAGAGACCCCCGTGTACTTGGCTCTTTTGCCACCAGATGCAGAGGGACCTCATGGGCAGTTTGTTCATGAAAAACAGGTTGAACAGTGGTGAACTCAACTCTCACCTCTTCCCACATCACCTCTCCCTCTCTTTGTATCCTGTTGGTGAGGGCCAAGGGACATTGATAATATACTAACACAATATACTAATTTAACACTCTTTAACTACTTGACTGACTGACCTTTGTAATTCTGTGAGTTGTTTTATGATTCCCTCTGTGATACAGGATGAGAAAAAGTCAATTCTGGGGAAAAAATAAAAATATGTGGCTTGTTCTTTAAGCATAATGATTTGTATAATCTTGGTGTTCCTTTATGTGTGTGAGCATCTTGTCTAGGTGAATGGACAGGTACTACATGCATAAAGTGCTCCTGGGGACCAGAAGAGGGCAGAGACTCCCCTGGAGCTGGGGTTAAAGATGGCTAAGGTCTCTACGAGAGCAGCAAGTGCTCCTCACTGCTGAGTCATCTCTCCAGTCCTCACTGTGCAGCTTTTGCCAGTGCAAAATCGGCTTCATCTCAGGGGTGTAAATAAAACCAAAGTCAGGGCCAACAGAAGGAGGAGCAGAGCAGCAGTCAGTGGAGATCTCAAGAGCCAGGTCAGAATACAGGGGGCTCTGTGATCCCTGCTGGCTGTAGCAGCCGCACAGGTGTGTTCTGGGTGACAGCAGGACAAGCTCAAGAGCCTGAGTCAAGGACGGTGTCTGAGGTGCAAAACACAATCTCAGCCCTCAAAAGAATAACAGAGCATCTATTCTGGAGCCATTGAGAGACCATGGCCTGGGAACACAGAGTTAGGTTACCCCACATTCTATGTTCCCACATACAAGCAGTTTTATACCTTCCTTTGTTCTATAAAGTTTTATTGAGCAAAGTAAAATATGAAGGAAATTTAAAATACATCGGTAGGTAGACCAGAGAAATGGGTACAATGAGAAAAGGGAATCATTTTATAAGCCCAAGATGTTGTTTAATGTCTTTTAGTTCTTGGATTAGTGTAAGTTACGTTCTGTTGAATTAAGAGCTTCTATAGGTATCAGCAGCATGACCCTCTTCCTCCTCCTCCTCCTCCTGCTCCTCCTGATTATTCTCATCATCTTCATCATCTTCAGATGTATGTTCAGAGTGGTACAAGCAGTGGCCGTTCCAGACGCTAAAACCAGCCCAAGATATAATTAGCCTCTGAACCTGCTCCATTCCAGTCTCTCCATAGAACTGAAAGCCCTATCAGTCCAAACAAGACTCCTCCCTGACTTTCTGTTCAGTGCAAGCAGGCTCCACATGTTGAATGTTTCAAGGTCCCTCATGGCGAGGACTCAGGCCTAGGATCTGCTGGAGATGAGGCTTGAGCAGTGGGCAGGACAGCGTCATTAGGAGAGAGGAACACAGGTGAAGCCATTTAGGAAGCATCATATGGAAACAATTAGCCACTAGGATTCACCTCTGAATTATCATCTTTTTGTAACAGGAGGAGCGGGCCTGCTTTTGGTCCTGGCTGTCTGGCTAGCTTACACCCAAAATAACCACACAGAAATTGTATTCATTTAAACTCTGCCTGGCCCATTAGTTTTAGCCTCTTATTTGCTAATTCTCACATCTTGATTCAACCCATTTCTAATAATCTGTATGTCACCAAGAGGTTGTGGCTTACCAGGAAAGATTCAGCATGTCTGACCTGGTAACTCCATGGCAGCTCCCTGTCTCCCTTCTTACCAGCATTCAGTTCTGTCTACTCTGCCTACCTAAGTGCTGTCCTCTCAAAAGGCCAAGGCAGTTTCTTTATTCTACCAATGAAAGCAACACATAGTCAAAAGGACCTCCTACACCATTTCCCCCTTTTCTGTTTAAACAAAAAGGAAGGCTTTAACTTTAACATAGTAAAATTACATATAACAAAACAGTTATCAAGCAGAAATTATAGTTACAATATTTATATCTACTTTATCTTTTATCATAACTAAGGAAAACTATATAAATTCTTCAACTCCATCAAAGACTCCAGAAGGAGATAATATTACTTAAACAAACAGAAAGTACATTATAAGCAACTTCCAAAAGCCTAGAAATGACAGAGACATCTCTCTGCCTGGACAGTCACCCAAAATTCTTTTGTATCCTTGGGGCATCCATCTTCAGCATCCAGCATCCAGCAGACTTTTCCATGATGCAGGAAATGCCAATGACAGTTCAGTCACTTTTTCTGTATCCTGCAGAATGTCTTGCAGCAGACTCTTTCATGAATCAGGAACCCTGAAGGACCATCTCACCTTTAGACAATTTCTTTTTTTTTTATGAAGATTTATTTATTACGTATACAACATTCTGCCTCCCCTGTATGCCCACACGCCAGAGGAGTGCACCAGATCTCATTACAGATGGTTGTGAGCCACCATGTGGTTGCTGGGAATTGAACTCAGGACCTCTGGAAGAGCAGGTGGTGTTCTTAACCTCTGAGCCATCTCTCCAGCCCACCTTTAGGCAATTTCAACAGTCCTCTCTCTCCAGGTTCTTTATGTCTAGTTTATGCAACAGTCCAAGCAAGAGCAGTTTCTTGCATGAGGGCCTGCTTGTTGGGATTTCGATCCTGCCCAGTTCCCACAGCCGGTAGCCCCAAAGAAAATCACATAGAGGTCTCCATAAGATTATGAACTAATTGGCCCATTAGCTTGGGCCTCTTATTAGCTCTTGTAGCTTATATTAACACATTATTCTTATCTATGTTATCCACATGCCTCAGTACCTTTTTCAGCGGGGCAGGTCACATCCTGCTTCTTCGGTGATCTGGGCAGGACTGCGAAAAGAGCTTCCCTCTTCCCAGAATACTCCTGTTCTCATTGTCCCACCTCTACTTCCTGTCTGGTTTTCCTGCCTTTACTTCCTATCTGGCTACCAGCCAATCAGCATTTATTTAAAATATAATTGACAGAATATAGACGATTGTCCCGCACCATCTTTTACACCCTCTGACTCTGTCATTACATTTACATGTGATGCAGATTACCAAATTTAAAAAATAAAGAATAGAATTTTGCCAAATGAAGTGAAAATTACAGATGAAACCAATGTCTAAAATTTACAAGATCCACTGTATAGTTTCTGTATAGTTACAGTTATTTCTATTTGATGAATTTGCTTATTTTAAGTGGTTAGAAATGGAAATTTCAATGTAGTTACTCTAATATTGGCTCTCTTTTTTCTTCATAATTGTTTAATTAATTTTTAATCCCAGCTCATTGACTATAGAACATTGTAGATAATAATTAAATGAGGAAGCATCAGGATTTGGAGTATAAAGCATCAAAAATGTTGTTACCAGACATTGATGTCATTTGTATAATTTGGATACAAATAACCAAAATCTTTTGTTATCTCTAGCTGGTGTAAATGAGGTGTATCTGGATTCTCTAGAGTAACGGACATTATAGAATGAACTCCCGTGTGTGTGTGTGTGTGTGTGTGTGTGTGTGTGGTATGGTACATGTGTATGGTGTACAGGTGTGGTGTGTGTATGGTCTAAGGGATATGGTATGTGTGTATGGTGTGTGTGGTATGGGTGTAGTGGTGTGGCATGTGTGTATGATGTCTATGGTTTATGTGTGTGTGTGGTAAGTGTATATGGTGGGTGTGTGGTATGGGTGTAGTGTGTCTTGGTGTGGTATGTATGTGTGTGGTAGGGGTGTTGTTGAAATAGGAGCAGCGGGGCTGCGTCCCCGGCACCCGGCCGCCCGCATGGCTAGGTTATGCCCGAAATAATTACACGGAAACTGTATTCTATTAAACACTGCCTGGCCCGGCTAGTTCCAGCTTCTTATTGGCTAGCTCTTACATATTGTTCTAACCCATTTCTAATATTCTGTGTAGCCCGCGAGCTGGCTTACCAGGGAGGATCTTAACCTGTGTCTGTCTGGAGCGGGAGAATCATGGCGACTCCTCCTCTAACCTTCTTTCTCCCAGAATTCTCTTCTGTATACTCCGCCTACCTAATTTTCTATCCAATAAAATGGGCCAAGGCAGTGTCTTTATTAATAAGAAACCATTCCCACATCAGGGTGTGGTGGTATGTGTGTATGGTGTGTGTGTTGTGTGTGTGGTATGGTTGTAGTGGTGTGGCATATGTGTGTGATATGTATGGTTTATGTGTGTGTGTATGGTACGTGTATATGGTGTGTGTGTGGTATGGGTGTGATGTGTCTGTGGTGTGGTATGTATGTGTGTGGTAGGGGTGTGGTGGTGTGTGTATGGAACGTGTATATATGTAGTATGGTTGTAGTGGTGTAGCATGTGTGTGTGATGTATATGGTGTGTGTATTATGATGTGTGGTGTGATGTGTATTGTATATGTGGTATGGATGTGTTTGTATGGTGTGTTTTTGTGTGATGTGTGTATTGTGTGTGGTGTGGTGGGTGATAACAGGAATTATTAGTGTCTGTGATGCTGTGTGGTAAATGTGTGATGTGGGAGTGTCATATATCAATCTGTTGATTTCATTGGTTAAGTAATAAACACACTGCTTGGCCTCATAGGTTAAAGCATTGGTGGGAGGAATAAACAGAATAGAATTCTGGGCGGAAGAGGAAGTGAGGTCAGACTCTGCTCTGCTCCCGGAGAGACTCTGCTCTCTGGAGCACAGACACCATGCTCCACTCTCCCAGGATGGACGGAGGCTAGAATCTTCCCGGTAAGTGCACCTTGGGGTGCTTACACACATCATTAGAAATGGGCTAGTCCAGGTGCGAGAATTAGCCTGTAAGGGCTAGAGTTCATGGGCCAAGCAGTTCTTAAATGAATACAGTTTGTGTGTTGTTATTTCGGGCATGAGCTAGCCAAGCGGCTGGGGTGTTGGGGACGCAGCCCCGCCGCCGCTCCTATTTCAACAAATGTGTATGATTGGTGTGTGGTGTGGTTTGTGAGTGGTATGGTATGTGTCCTCTGTGGGTGTGTTGTGTGGTATGAGATATGTGTGATGTGTTATATGTGTGTGGTATTGTAAGACTTTAAGACAATCCTGAAGCCATTTCTGACTATTCTGAGTCCTCTCAGCCTCCATGCCATAGTGCTTCCCCTCCTCCCCTGGGAACCAAGGACCTAACAGCTACACATACATGTACTCAGTTCCTGAACAATTACCCATATACATATGTTTTGATTCGGTCCCCTGGGAAACGGGGTCAAAATGACCTCTTACCTCATATGATCTGGCAACAGTTCTCCAGCCAATTATTGATAATAGCCCTTTTGAATAAGCCAATCACAACCCCCCCCCCTTGCTTCTGTGGCCTTCTCCTTTAAAAGTAGCCTGTGCCAGCTATTCGAGGTCTCTCGGCTTCCCGAATGCTGGGGGACCCTGTCATGACAGAATTAATAAAATACTCATGCTTTTGCAATAGCTGTGGTGTGTAAGGTGGTCTCTGGGGGCGACTCCTCCTCGGTGTTTGGACGCTAGAGTCCAACAATATGTATGTGTGGTGCTGTGATGGAGGTGGGTCTTGTTTTTATTTGTTTCCGTGCAATTATTTTGGGTATAAAGCTAGCCGTGCGGAGCTGGGGTGGGGGAACGCAGCCCGCTGCTCCTTACAACAGTGGTGTGTGTTCTGTGTGTGCTATTTCTACAGGTGGTGTGGGGTTTAGTGTATATGGTATAGTGTGTGGTAGTGTGTATGTATGTATGGTGTGGTATATTTGTATGGTGTGTGTACTGTCTCTGTGTGGGGTGTGCTTTGGGGTGGTTTGTGCACATGCTGTGTATGTATGTCTGGAATATGGGTAGTATAGTGTATGTGTGGGTGTGGTAGGGATATGGTGTAAAAGTATGTGTGTTTCTGTGTATGAGTGTGTGTGTCTGTGTGTGCCTGCTTGTGTGCAGACCAAACACCACGTAAACCAGCAGAGGCGTCACGACAACTTCATGGAATCTGCCGTTCCCTCCACCTTTGCACACCTTCCAAGGACTGAACCAGGTCACTGGGATTAACAGGCACCTGCTGAGTCATGGCACACTTGTCAGTCCTATCTCTGATATGAACATGTTACGGGCAAAGTCCGGACACTAATCACTACCAGGAGAACAACTCCAATGCCAAAACAAAGCAACAGCAGCAGCTGCTGCAACTAGAACAGTGCAGGAGAGACCCCACAAGCTGACAGAGGGGTTTACAGAGGGGAAGAGGCTTGGGGATTCCAAGCCTCAGGGCCTGTGACTGGCTGCCCCCTGGTGGGGTGGTGTTGCAAGCTCTAGAGCCTCAGAGCCTGGCCAGTCAAGTTGCAGAGTCCAAGGACGTTTTCACCAACTCTATGATCAGGGACAAAGTGTCTCTTCTTCTGGATCTGCTCCCATTTTCAAGCTCTGCTTCTTCCCCTGAGTTGGGGCTTGGAGCCTAGCAGTTCCAGGTCTGTGTAGAGATGCAGAACAAGAATATTCTGGGGGCTGGGTGTCTCAAATGCTTGGTAAACAGCTGACTAGAGGGCTGGCCTGAAATGGGAATTAACTACATGCAATCTATAGGAAACAACAGAATCTTCCGTCGTGGAAAGGTCTCATTTGTTTCCTGAATTTCACTGTATTCCCAATCCCACCGCCCTCGTGCATACTGAGGTCAGTGCAACTCAAATGTCTCACTTCATTTAAAGGGCCACCGTGCCAGTAGCAACCTACTGAAGAGTAAGGAAATGGAACTTGACCTTGGATCCCTAGTTCCTGGGTGTCAGGAAACAGTGAGAATTCGTTCCCCTCTACTGAACCAACTGTAGACTTTCTGAGCACAGAGCATCCTGTCTTCTTCAAAGGGGAATATAATGGGGGCATCTTGTGCTGTTCTGAGTGAAGAGGAGCGGCCTTCCCTGATGGCCCTTGCCTGATGGCCCTTGCCTGATGGCCCTTGCCTCCAGGTGAGGCAGGCATTAGAAGTGTGTAAAGAGAAGCCCGTGCGGTTAGGGGGGAATGCTTCTGCCCAAGGATTATCCAGCAGCTTTGCTTTATGTGCAGAGGGAAATTCAACACGACTCCGATTCCTCACCTTCTCTAAGAGTTCATCCTACAACTCTAGTTCCTGCTACTTAAAGGGCAGCGCGTTATTTTACTAGACACCAGGAAGACTAGGTACAGAGGTCTGGTGTGCAAGTTGGGGAATACAGTGCAAATTCAGACGAGCACAGACGAAGAGTCAGTAGCATGGGCCAGGTGGACAGTTGCTGCACCCTCTCTCCTACCTTCCCCTGCAGTCTTCCCTGGCTGCTAGCTTCCAAGTCGGCTTAAGAAGAAAGCCTAAAATACCTGTGAGCTAGCTGGCCCAGCCGGTTTTTTTGTGGCTGGTTTTTAAAACCCAGTAACACCCTGCATGCTAGCGAAATGTAGCATGTTTCTTTCATTGGAAATTTTTATTAAAAAAGAAAAAAGGTCAGTCCTGCGAAGGTGAGCCACCACTCCATAAATAAACACCACCAAGACAATCGCCCGGTTTCAGAAGTCTCAAAACAGCAAGACCCAGAGAAGCCGCCTGCTGCGCCACGCCCTCTTGGGGGCGGCATCAAGAGATGCGCCTGCGCATTGCGCCCATGCTGGCCTCTCCAATTTACAACCGCTAGAAAAACATTGCGTGGACTGGCTGTCCAGCTACCTCCTGCTGCAGAGTTAACCCCAGGTTCGCTGCTCTCCGACCCCAACTCTACACCCACCGAGCCATGTCATCCTGCAGCCGCGTGGCGCTGGTGACCGGGGCTAACAAGGGCATAGGCTTCGCCATCACTCGTGACCTCTGTCGGAAGTTCTTGGGGGTCGTGGTGCTCACCGCCCGGGACGAGGCAAGAGGCAAGGCTGCGGTGCAGCAGCTGCAGGCGGAAGGCCTGAGCCCGCGCTTCCACCAGCTGGACATCGACGACCTGCAGAGCATCCGCGCCCTGCGAGACTTTTTGCTCAAAGAATACGGGGGACTGGACGTGCTGGTCAACAACGCGGGCATTGCCTTCAAGAGTATGCCCTGGGGTGTGGAAAGGGGAGGCGACTTCCCCGGTGGTGCCAGGATGGGCTCTTCTTCTCAGGGAAGCATTGCTAGGGCAGGGAAAGGGTCATGGGAGTCTAAAACAGGTCCCCTGGGAGATAAGGACCAGGGTGGGGGTTGCAGGCAGAGCAGAGCCCTGTGTTTACCCAACTAGACCGCTTTCCCGTGTTTTCCAAGTTTCCCTCACTCAGCTGTTGAGTAGGTGGGCATGGGTATACTTCAATAGAACTCTTATGTGATAGTAAAATAAACAAGGAATTGGGTGGAGAAAAAGAGAAGAGCAAGGGAGGGGGTTACTTTGCTATCTTAATACATAACCCTTCCCTAGCCCCATCCCTGGGTGCTGCCTGTCAAAAATGATAGAATATATTCAGATTGGCAGTAGGGCAGTGGCCTGACTAAATACCTGGCAGTGTATTTCTAGGGCGCTCAGTCCTGTCTATACAGTCCCACTGGAGTAACGCGATTCTCTTTCTCCCCCCGGAAGATGCTGACCCCACCCCCTTCCACATTCAAGCAGAAGTGACATTGAAAACAAACTTTTTTGGTACCCAAGATGTCTGCACTGAGCTGCTCCCACTAATAAAACCCCAAGGTGAGTCTGTGGCTGCTTTCCAGGCCGCTCCTCTCCCTCTGTGCCTCAGCCTCTCTGAAACTTGGTCAGAGTCTCTGCTCTTTGGGTCTCAATTCTTTGTGGTCCCTGATTCTCTCTTTGCAGCCCCTGATTCTCTCTATGCATGTGCGACTCCGCTGTAACCATCCGCTGTGCGTCCAAGGTCTGTTGTTCCACATGCTCACACTTTAGGGGGTTTTAGGATTCCATTCCTCTCTAAAACCTGGTGCACACCAACCGCACCCTGCTGGTCGCAATGCCCTGCCCCACAAGACCTCAGACTGTGCCCACACAGTGCCTCCCTCACTCAGCTTTACAGCAGGTCAGGACTGGGAAACTGCAACTCCACCCAGGAGGCCTCCTTTCTTGAGCATGCCCTGTCCAGGGTTTCTACACCCTGTCTACCCAAGTCTTCTCCTCCCAAAGATACTTCAGGGGACAAGCCTAAGCCTTTAGCATGGTTCACACCACTTGATAATCTCACCTGTCCTTAATACAGTGCAGGCTCATGTTAGCTCTCCATCAACTTGTACATGCTCTGCAGAACTAACAATCACATAACTGTTATCATGAACTGCTGATACCCCATGTTATTTGCATGGCGTGTGAACACCACTCAATGACCATGCACCAGCAATGACAAATGAGCCCCTGCAGGACTGTAAGGGTCTGGTTTAGAGCTGAGGAAGTATACCTCATCTGAACTCATGTCCTCTCTCCTGATGCTCCTCTGCATCTCTAGAACCTCTAAAGGGTGCTGTTTCCATGGTGACCTGGCTGCTCTGCCCACCCGAACCTTAAAGGAAAGAATGCAGTTTCTTGTACTACCTCAGTCCTGTTCTCCACATCCTCTCTTACATGGAAGCTTCCTGGTGTAAAATCTCACCAAGATAAAATACCATCATTGTGTACCTCTTTACATAGCAATTTGTGGTGTGTTTTAGGCAGAGTGGTGAACGTATCGAGCATGCTGAGTCTCAGAGCCCTGAAAAACTGTAGCCCGGAGCTGCAGCAGAAGTTTCGAAGTGATACCATCACAGAAGAGGAGCTGGTGGGGCTCATGAACAAGTTTGTGGAGGACACAAAGAAAGGAGTGCATGAAAAAGAAGGCTGGCCTAATAGTGCTTATGGGGTGAGCAAGATTGGAGTGACAGTCCTGTCGAGAATCCACGCCCAGAAACTCAGAGAGCAGAGGAAAGGGGACAAGATCCTCCTCAATGCCTGTTGCCCTGGGTGGGTGAGAACAGACATGGCAGGACCAAAAGCCACCAAGAGCCCCGAAGAAGGAGCAGAGACCCCCGTGTACTTGGCTCTTTTGCCACCAGATGCAGAGGGACCTCATGGGCAGTTTGTTCATGAAAAACAGGTTGAACAGTGGTGAACTCAACTCTCACCTCTTCCCACATCACCTCTCCCTCTCTTTGTATCCTGTTGGTGAGGGCCAAGGGACATTGATAATATACTAACACAATATACTAATTTAACACTCTTTAACTACTTGACTGACTGACCTTTGTAATTCTGTGAGTTGTTTTATGATTCCCTCTGTGATACAGGATGAGAAAAAGTCAATTCTGGGGAAAAAATAAAAATATGTGGCTTGTTCTTTAAGCATAATGATTTGTATAATCTTGGTGTTCCTTTATGTGTGTGAGCATCTTGTCTAGGTGAATGGACAGGTACTACATGCATAAAGTGCTCCTGGGGACCAGAAGAGGGCAGAGACTCCCCTAGAGCTCGGGTTAAAGATGGCTGAGGTCTCTACAAGAGCAGCAAGTGCTCTCACCGCTGAGTCATCTCTCCAGTCCTCATTGTGCAGCTTCTGCCAGTGCAAAATCGGCTTCATCTCAGGGGTGTAAATAAAACCAAAGTCAGGGCCAACAGAAGGAGGAGCAGAGCAGCAGTCAGTGGAGATCTCAAGAGCCAGGTCAGAATACAGGGGGCTCTGTGATCCCTGCTGGCTGTAGCAGCCGCACAGGTGTGTTCTGGGTGACAGCAGGACAAGCTCAAGAGCCTGAGTCAAGGACGGTGTCTGAGGTGCAAAACACAATCTCAGCCCTCAAAAGAATAACAGAGCATCTATTCTGGAGCCATTGAGAGACCATGACCTGGGAACACAGAGTTAGGTGCCCACATTCTATGTTCCCACAAACAAGCAGTATTATTAAGGTCTTATATCTTTCCTTGTTCTATATGTTTTATGGAGGATAGAAATCATAAATCAATTCCTCTTTTAAATATTTTGGTTGATGGATAGAGAGATGAGGACACGGAGATGGGGGGTGTCACTTTAGAAGCCCAAGATGCAATGGTACTTTGTGTTTTAACAAATAAAGCTTTCTTGAATATCAGAATGCAGAGCTAAGCCACCACCAGAGGTCAGGTAGTGGTGGCACACACCTTTAAACCCAGCACTTGGGATCACTCAGTGGTGGAGCACTCCTTATCCCAGCACTAGGGAGCTGGGCAGTGGTGGAGAACTCTTTTTTCCCAGTACTAGGGAGCTGGGCAGTGATGGAGCACACCTTTATCCCAGCACTAGAGAGGTGGGCAGTGGTGGAGCACTCCTTTATCCCAGCACTAGGGAGGTGGGCAGTGGTGGAGCACGCCTTTATCCTAGCACTAAGGAGGTGGGAAGTGGTGGAGCACTCCTTTATCCCAGCACTAGGGAGGTGGGCAGTGGTGGAGCACACCTTTATCCCAAAACTAGGGAGGTGGAGACAGGAGGGATATGGCTGGGTAGAGATGAACATGAGGCAGGAGGAGACAGGAGCTCCTTGCAGTCTGAGGTTTGGTGGAGACAGATGCAGTCTGGAGATGCAATGAGGACAGGCCCGCCCCCTAGTTCTGAGCATTGCGAGTGGCTGGTGCTCTGCTTCTCTGACATTCAGCATGAACCCTTGTATCTGACTCTGGGACTTTATTATTAATACCGTTAGAATTGATGCCACAACAGGATGCTTTCCGATGACTTTCTAGCTCTTGGAATATAGAAAGTTAGTTTTCTGCTGCATTAAAAATGTCTAACAGCTGTCAGCAGCAGATCCTCTTCCTCCTCTTCCTCCTCCTCCTCCTCCTCATCTTCAGGAGTCCATTCAGAGTAGAACAAGGAATGACAAAGCTAAAGCCAGCCCAAGATGAAGACCTGCTGCATTCCAGTCTCCATAGCACTGAAAGTCCTATGAGTCCATCCGTGTCTGCAGACAAGACTCCTGCCTGGCGTTCTGGTCACAGCATACACACCTTCTCTCCAGAACTTTCCATCACAGTTCTCCCGTTGACCAAGCAACACATTTTGTGCAGGCAGAACCACATGTTAAATGTTCTGGGGTCCCTCATAGCGAGGACTCAGGCCTAGGATCTGCTGTAGATGAGGCTTTAGCAGTGGGCAGGACAGCGTCATTAGGGGAGAGGAACAAAGGTGAAGCCATTAAGAAAGCGTCTCCCGATTTCATGGAATCAATAAACCCGCGAGGATCTGCATCTGAAGTATCATCTTCTACACCCTTGGATTCTGTCATTACATTTACATGTATTAATTAGAACAGAATTTGGCCTAATGAAGGGAAAATTACAAATGAAACCAATGTCTAAAATTTACAAGATCCACTGTATAGTTCCTGTATAGTTACAGTTATTTCTATTTGATGAATTTGCTTATTTTAAATGGTTAGAAATGGAAATTTCAATGTAGTTACTCTAATAGTGGCTCTCTTTTTTCTTAATAATTGTTTAATTAATTTTTAGTCCCAGCTCATTGTACAATGGAACATTGTAGATAATAATTAAATGAGGAAACATCAGGATTTGAAGTATAAAATATCAAAAATGTTGTTACCCGACATTGATGTCATTTGTATAATTTGGATACAAATAACCAAAATCTTTTGGAATCTCTAGCTGGTGTAATGAGGTGTATCTGGGTTCTCTAGAGTAACCAACCGACGTCATAGAATGAACACCTGTCTCTATGTTTGTGTGTGTGTGTTGTGATATGTGTGTATGGTGTGTTGTGGTATGGGTGTGGTGTGTGTATGGTGTGTATGTGTGTATGATGTGTGTGTGGTATGGGAGTGGTGTATGTGGTGTGTATGTGTGCATGGTATGTGGTGTGTGTGGTATGTATGTATGTGTGGTGTGTGTGTGGTATGGGTGTGGTATGTATGTATGTAGGGTGCGTGTAGTATGGCATGTGTGTATGGGTGTGTGTAGTGTGTGAGTATGGTATGGGTGTAGTGGTGTGACATGTGTGTGCGAAGTATATGGTGTGTTTGTGTGTATGGTGTGTTGGTATGGTTGTGACATATGTATTAGGTGTGATGTGGTGTATGGTGACAGAAATTATTGGTGTCTGTGATGGTGTGTGATATATGTGTATGACTGTAGTGTGGTGTGGTTTGTGAGTGATATGGTGTATGTCTTGTATGTGTCCTCTGTGGGTATGGAGTGTGGTATGGGGTGTGTGATATGTGTGATGAATGTGTTACATGTGTGTGGTTTGTGTGTTTTACGTGTGTTATGTGTGTATGCTATGTTGTACAGGTGGCATTGGTGTAGTGTATATGGTATGGTGTGTGGTGGTGTATATGTGTGTGTATGGTGTGTGGCGTGTTTGTATAGGGTATGTACTGTATGTGTGGGGTGGGCTGTCAGGGGGTGGTGTGTGTATGCTGTGTGTATGTGTGTCTGGTGTGTGTGCAGTACAGTGTATGTGTGTGGTATGTATGGTGTGGAGGGTGGGAATGTGGTGCTAAAGTATGTTTCTTTCTGTGTATGTGTGTGTATTTGTGTGCCTGCGTGTGTGCAGACCAAACACCCACGCAAACCTGCAGAGGTGTCACGACAACTTCATGGAATCTGCCGTTCCCTCCACCTTTGCACACCTTCCAAGGACTGAACCAGGTCACTGGGATTAACAGGCACCTGCTGAGTCATGGCACACTTGTCAGTCCTATCTCTGATATGAACATGTTACGGGCAAAGTCCGGACACTAATCACCACCAGGAGAACAACTCCAATGCCAAAACAAAGCAACAGCAGCAGCTGCTGCAACTAGAACACTGCAGGAGAGACCCCACAAGCTGACAGAGGGGTTTACAGAGGGGAAGAGGCTTGGGGATTCCAAGCCTCAGGGCCTGTGACTGGCTGCCCCCTTGGTGGGGTGGTGTTGCAAGCTCTAGAGCCTCAGAGCCTGGCCAGTCAAGTTGCAGAGTCCAAGGACGTTTTCACCAACTCTATGATCAGGGACAAAGTTTCTCTTCTTCTGGATCTGCTCCCATTTTCCAGCTCTGCTTCTTCCCCTGAGTTGGGGCTTGGAGCCTAGCAGTTCCAGGTCTGTGTAGAGATGCAGAACAAGAATATTCTGGGGGCTGGGTGTCTCAAATGCTTGGTAAACAGCTGACTAGAGGGCTGGCCTGAAATGGGAATTGACTACATGCAATCTATAGGAAACAACAGAATCTTCCGTCGTGGAAAGGTCTCATTTGTTTCCTGAATTTCACTGTATTCCCAATCCCACCGCCCTCGTGCATACTGAGGTCAGTGCAACTCAAATGTCTCACTTCATTTAAAGGGCCACCGTGCCAGTAGCAACCTACTGAAGAGTAAGGAAATGGAACTTGACCTTGGATCCCTAGTTCCTGGGTGTCAGGAAACAGTGAGAATTCGTTCCCCTCTACTGAACCAACTGTAGACTTTCTGAGCACAGAGCATCCTGTCATCTTCAAAGGGGAATAATGGGGGCATCGTGTGCTGTTCTGAGTGAAGAGGAGCGGCCTTCCCTGATGGCCCTTGCCTCTGTACACGTCAGTCCTCACCTCCAGGTGAGGCAGGCATTAGAAGTGTGTAAAGAGAAGCCCGTGCAGTTATGGGGGAATGCTTCTGCCCAAGGATTATCCAGCAGCTTTGCTTTATGTGCAGAGGGAAATTCAACGCGACTCTGATTGCTGACCTTCTCTAAGAGTTCGTTCTACAACTCTAGTTCCTGCTACGTAAGGGGCAGCGCGTTATTTTACTAGACACCAGGAAGACTAGGTACAGAGGTCTGGTGGGCAAGTTGGGGAATACAGTGCAAATTCAGACGAGCACAGACGAAGAGTCAGTAGCATGGGCCAGGTGGACAGCTGCAGCACCCTCTCTCCTACCTTCCCCTGCAGTCTTGCCTGGCTGCTGGCTTTCACATTGCCTTAAGGAAAAGGTCCATGAACTCACTCTGTCATATTTTTTTTTGGCTCGTTTTTAACACCCAGAAACACCCTGCATGCTCTGAGCTAGCAAAATGTAGCATGTTTCTTTCATTGGAAACTCAGAAACTGTTTCATGAAGGTTTTCTAGTTTTTACAGACCAAAGAAAGTTATCAATCCAGTTAACTTTAGCCTACATTTGTGGGTACACCAGAGAGGCAGGTACAGAGACAGGGAGCTATGCTCTAGGCCCAGATGCTGTCCCAGGGCATTCTTAACTCTTAGAATGCTGGAAGCTGGTCTTCTGCTAAGTTAATAGCTCCTAAGAGGTTTTTTATTTATTATCCCCAATTAATTCCACATATGGAGCGGAGCTAGAAATGGCCATTCCAGAAGCTAAAACCAGCCCAAGATAAAGTAATTAGCCTCTGGACCTGCAAAATCCCGGTCTCTCCACTCTCCTGCAGGTCCTGTCAGTCTGTCAGTCTCTGCAGACATGGTCTCCCCCTGGAGTTCTTTTCTGGGCGTTTTGTTCACAACAAACAGTCACACCAGTGAGTCTTATGTGAGTGTGTGCTTATAAGAAATGTACCCATAGTATGTGTGTGGCTGGGGGTGACTTCATGTGGTGTATGTGTGCATTTTCATGTGCACATATATGACCGACAGCCTCAGGGGTGCTGTCTTGTACCCTGTAAAGATTTGTCACTTGTATTGGTTTAATAAAATGCTGATTGGCCTATAGCCAGGCAGGAAGTGTAGGCAGAATGACCAGACTAAGAGAATTCTGGGAGGAGGAAAGGCTCAATCTGCAGTCATCAGCCAGATGGAGAGGAAGCAAGATGAGAATGTCTCGCTGAGTAAGGTACCAAGCCACATGACTACACATAGACAATAATTATTTGTTAATTTAAGTTGTAAGAGTTAGTTAATCATAAGTCTGAGCTAATAGGACAATCAGTTTATAATTAATATAAGCTTCTGTGTGTTTTTTGGGATTGAACGACTGTGGGACTAGGCAGGACAGAAGCTTCTGTCTACCCTGGGGTCATTCCTCAGATGCTGTACACTGTTTTTGGTCGCTTTTGCTTTTTTCATTTGGTTTTAAAGATAGAGCACTTGCTAGACTAGCTGGCCAATTAGCTCCAGAAATCTGATACCTCTGTCTCCCCAGTGCAGAGATTAAAGTTCATGCCACAAGTCCTGGGGCTCAGACTTGGGTTCTCAAGCTTGTAAGCAGGCACTTACTGACTGGGCAAACTCACTCCTCGGTCTGAATGATATGTTTGTTCTAGACTATTTCTTCTTTCCCCTTTTTATCTGTTGAAAGATTTTCAGCCGTGGGGAGAGGCTAGAATGTAACTCAGCCATGAAGTGCATGCCAGCATATCTGAAGTCCTGAAATGAAGAGAGACATGAAGAATTCACAACTTTACATACATGAGCTGAAACAGGGTGACTGTGTCTTCTGGGCCTTGATCCCATTAACTCTCAAGTGAGGATAATAATAGAATACAGGTCATCATGACAGGTGTGTGGACACACATAGTACACGCTCTCACCCCACAGTGCCCTTAGGAATGACACCATCCCCACAAGCTAAGAAAAGCACTTGCTCATTGTCCATCACCCAGGGCAGCTCCAGGCAGCACCAGGAACTGCCCATGACCCTCCTTCCCCCAGGAACACTACATACTGCACAAGACGTCTCTCATAACCTCACTGAAGTCTGGTTCCTCCACCTGCTTACACTCTGTGTTCTTGCAAACAGGCCTTCTATGTCACTCGTTTCTACCGAAGAACATGCTCCCAAACTGCTCCGGAGAGTTGGAGTGTGCTCAGTGTGTTCTCTAATACCTGGGAACCCAAGAGCCTGTTCCTTTGGGAAATAGTACCTGACATGCAGCCAATGCATCAGGGGAACACAGGAAAGGCGACAGTTTCCACCATCAGGACTGCAGAAGCAGCAGCTCCATGGGGGACAAGGAGCACATGCACAAACAACTGCGCCCATGTTCCCAAAATATTGTTTATAAATGTTCTTTTACATTTAAAGGGGGAAATGATATAGGTATAAATAATTTGCATTGGTATGGATTTTAAGGTCAATTTTTCTTATATGTATATGCATATTTCTAATCTTGATTAAGGTATTGTGATTGTGTAGTTCACTTTTAAAATGTAATGTATAATTAGGAAATATAGGTTGCTAATGGATAATCATAATAGTCAAGTTTGTACTCATGTTACTTAGATTTTCTAGATATATAGAGATATATTTTAGTTAGATAGGCATTCTTCATATCTTTCAAAGGCTGCAGAATATGGCATTTAAAATATTTTAATAACTTAGGACTTTTCATGACAATGAGACACATCTGCTCCTGGCAGCACCAATCTACTTCGAGAGAAAGATGGGCATCGAAGAGGATCCTTATGGAGTTTGATAGCCATTTGGGCAAGAAACTGCTCTTGCCTGGACTGTTGCATGAACTGGACACAAAGAACCCGCGGAAAGAGGACTGCTAAACTTGCCTAAAGGTGAGATGGTCTTTCGGGGTTTCTGACTCATGAAAGAGTCTGCAAGACATTCTGCAGGACACAGCAGAAAGTGACTGAACTGTCTTTAAAATTTCCTGCTTGATGAAAAAGCCTGCTGGATACTATGGGCCTGAAGGCTGAAGATGGATGCCCCAACGGTACAGAGGAACTTTGGGTGACTGTACAGGCAGCGAAATGTCTCTGCCATTTCTAGAATTTTAGAAGTTACTTACTTCTTGTTTGCTTAGGTAATATTATATCCTTCTGGGGTCTTTGATGGAGTTGAAGAATGGATACATAGTTGTAGTTTTCTTTAGTTATGATAAAAGATAAAGTAGATAATAAATATTGTAACTGTAATTCTTACTTGATAACTGTTTTGTTATATGTAATTTTACTATGTTAAAGTGAAAGCCTTTCTTTTTTGTTTAAACAGAAAAAGGGGAAATGATGGAGGTGGGTCTTGTATCTTATCTGTTGCTTTCATTGGTTAACTAATAAAGAAACTGCCTTGGCCCTCATAGGACAGAAAATTAGGTAGGTGGAGTAGACAGAACAGAATGCTGGGAGAAAGAAGCTGAGTCAGGGAGTCGCCATGATTCTCCCACTCCAGGCAGACGCAGGTTAAGATCTTTCCTGGTAAGCCAGCTCGTGGGCTACACAGATTATTAGAAATGGGTTAGATTAATATGTAAGAGCTAGCCAATAAGAGGCTAGAGCTAATGGGCCAGGCAGTGTTTAAAAGAGTACAGTTTCTGTGTAATTATTTTGAGTATACAGCTAGCTGGCGGCTGGGAGCTGGGATGGCAGCCGCTGCTTCTCTCAACAAGGGAGACATTCAGGAGTCTGAAACACTCAAGAAAAGTTGGAAAACATAAGTAGCTCTCCTCTAAAGTGAAGTTTGCGCTGTACCAAGGTGACTACAGAGATCCACAAGGGCTCACATTGCAAAGAATGAGCGCTCACGTGGTGCCAGCCCCAACTGAGAGATCCACAGCACAAACCCTTCAACTAGGGCTGAGGAGAAAGACTGCTAAAGTCGGGGGCCCAGGGCGCCCACTGCTAGATGGTGTCTTCTAGACATGTCAGAGACACAGAGTCCATGAGATCTCAACAGTCTGCTTGCCTAAGTAAGACCTGCATAATGCAAAAAGCAGTTGACATATCAACACAGATGGGCAATTTTCCCAAGGTTCCAGCTCTAGATGAAGAACTACAGCAATCCATGAGGACACATAGAATCATCTTCTCCAAGGACAGGCCTCTGACAGGTGATCTGATCCAAAGTGGTCAGCCCTAAACATGTGTTCACATGCACTACACTAATGAGCTCAATACGGTGTGCGTGTGTGCATGAGTGCATGCGTGTGTGCGTACACGTGTGTGTGTGTGTGTGTGTGTGTGTGTAAAACAATAATAAATGAAGAAGGAGAGATGATGAACTGGAGATAGAATGAGGGACACAGAGCAGCCTGGAGGAGGAATAGGGGCAGAAATGAAATAAACCCAGTGTGCATATATGAAATTCTCAAAAACAAAAAATTTAAAAATGAAGCTTCAAATAATCACTAAGCTAAAAAAAAAAAAAAGAGGAATCTCTTATGGCACAAAGGGAGCCACACACAGCATATGACTCCCGTGATCTTACAGTATGACAGAAGCCACAGGGAGCTGAGCGAGCCCGCTGGGAAAAGCCCGAGTCACAATAAGGTTGAAATTGTTAGGAAACCCTGAGTCATGGGTCAACACACCTGGCTTGTGCCACCGAGAATGGGCAGAGGAGGCTGGCTGCACACGGGCCCCTGCACACATC